CCGCCACAGGGGCCGCCCCAGCCACAAGCGCAAATACAGACTGGGTGGAGAATAGATTGAGAGGAGCCTTGAGAAGAACTTGGAGGTGTTGCTTGATGAGAAGCTCAACATGAGCCGGCAATGTCCGGCTCATGTTGTGAGTCCCCAACACAAGAAGGACATGGAGCTACTGGAGTGAGTCCAGAGGAGGGCCGTGAAGATGATCCAAGGGCCAGAGCACCTCTCCTATGAAGACAGGCTGAGAGAGTTGGGGCTGTTCAGCCTGGAGAAGAGAAGGCTCCGGGATGATCTTATAGCAGCCTTCCAGTACCTAAAGGGGGCCTACAGGAAAGCTGGAGAGGGACTTTTTGCAAGGGCATGTAGTGATAGGACAAGGGGCAATGGATTCAAACTGAAAGAGGGTAGATTTAGATTAGATATAAGGAAGAAATTTTTTACTCTGAGGGTGGTGAGGCACTGGAACAGGTTGCCCAGAGAAGTTGTGGATGCCCCACCCCTGGAAGTGTTCAAGGCCAGGTTGGATGAGGCTTTGGGCAACCTGGTGTAGTGAAGGATTTCTCTGCCCATGGCAGGGGGGTTGGAACTAGATGATCTTTAAGGTCCCTTCCAACCCTAACCATTCTATGGTTCTATGAGCGCTTGCAGCCCAGAAAGTTAACCGTGTCCTGGGCTGCATCAAAAGAAGCATGGCCTGCAGGTCGAGGGAAGTGATTCTGCCCCTCTACTCAGCTCTTGTGAGTACTCCCATCTGGAATACTGCGTTCAGATCTGGGGTCCCCAACGTAAGAAGGACATGGAGCTACTGGAGCGAGTCCAAAGGAGGGCCACAAAGATGATCCGAGGGCTGGAGAACCTGTCCTATGAAGACAGGCTGAGAGTTGGGGCTGTTCAGCCTGAAGAGAAGGCTCCGGGGAGACCTTCTAGCAGCCTTCCAGTACTTAAAGGAGGCCTACAGGAAAGCTGGAGAGGGACTTTTTACAAGAGTGTGTAGTGATAGGTAATGGATTTAAATTGAAAGAGGGTAGATTTTTAATAGATCTAAGGATGAAATTCTTCATTTGATGGTGGTGAAGCACCAGAAGAGTCTTCCCAGAGAAGCTGTGGATGCTCCATCCCTGGAAGTGTTCTAGGCCAGGTTGGATGAGGCTTTGAGCAACCTGGTCTAGTGTTTGAGCAACCTGGGCTAGTGGAAGGCATCCCTGCCCATGGCAGGGGGGTCTGGAACTAGATGATCTTTAAGGTCCCTTCCAACTTGTGCTGGGTTTATGTGATGAAGCTTTGATAGCAGTGGAAGGGTTCTAGAGATGGCCCCTGTAAAGGAGATTCGAGAAGCTTCCCTAGCTCCAAAACTGGTCGGACCAGTCTTTGGCTGGACCTCTGGACAGAGTTCGTCCTGCCAGGACTGCCGAGGTTCGCCAAGCCTGGCCCAGATGCAGCACAGAGAGGACTGAGATCTGAGAGAAACGACTACGTAGACACTGAGGTCAGTGCGGATGGAGCGGGAGGAGCTGTGCCTGCAGATGGAGAGGGAGGAGCTGTGCCGGAGCAGGGATTCCCCTGCAGCCTGTGGCGAGAGGGCAGCAGTGCCCCTGCAGCCATGACAGACTCGTTGGAGCAGAGACCCAATCGCCTGTGCCCAAAGGAGTTCACAGAGGACTGTCTCTGTGGGAGGGACCCCCCACACTGCTGAAGACTGACAGTGAAGCGGAGATGCATCTGCAGTCTGTGGAGGACCCCATGCCGGATGCAGGTGGCTGCACCCGAAGATGCGACTCCATGGGAAACACCTGCACTGGAGCAATCTGATGGGTCAGGATTGTATCCTGCGGGAAGGACTCACATAGGAGAAGCCTGTGGACTATTTCCTGTGACGAGTTGCCCCAACTTGGAGCAGGGGAAGAGCATATGGAGTCCTCCCTGTTAAGGAAGGAGTGGCAGAAACAGCATGTGTGAAGAACTGACCACAACTCCCATTCCCCTGGGGGAGCAGGTAGAGCCGGGAAGAAGGGAAGGGTGGGAGGAAGGGTAGAACCAGGAAGAAGGGAAGGGTGGGAGGAAGGCATTTTAAGATCTGGCTGTTTCTGTTGTCCTCTCTGAAGTAACTGTTAACGAATTAAATCGATTTGTCCCCAAGCTGAGTCTGTTTTGCCTGGGGTCATGGTCAGTGGATGATCCCTCCCTGCTCTTATCTGAACCCTCAGGCCTTTTGTTACATTTTTCTCCTCTTTGCCCCTTGGAAGCAGAGGAGCAAGCGAGTGGGAGTGGATGCCTGGTTGCTTGGATGAGCCAGCTGGGCTAAACCATGACACAACGCAAACCATTCTATGATTCTATGAAACATTTGACGTTCTGTCAGCACACAAGTCGCTATCTGATTTCCTCACATATACTAAATTTCCACTAAGTTAATTTTTTCTTCTTATGGTACACATAAATAACTTTAAAAACTCTCACAAGCAACCATTACCTTGATATTGCGTGCATCATATGAGATCCTGTGGTCAGTGACTCTGTCCTGGGTGAAGTTGTAAGTACGAATTCTCTCTGACTGGGCTCTTGTTCCCAACTGCAGCAAAGCAGCAAAAAATAAATTCTATTATACTGTGGTTTTTAAAAAAATCAAATACTACTCTGAAACAGCATACCAAGAATAAACTTTAAATCAATCAGCCTTTTTTACCTACAGACCTAGTGGTACAGAGTTAGCATATATACTTTTTAAAAAAATATTGTGGCATTACTAAACTGTATTATTTGTGATTGTGTATCACAGATCAAGTTTTTACATCCTCCGGTACATTTCTGTTCCAGCTCTGTAGCTGGAAGAATTACATAACTCTCAAAAGTCATGTAAGGCATGAGATATGTCTCTATGTGTCCTTAGCCCAAAAACGTGTGGTTTTCTTTTTTGGAGGGTTGTAGCTCCAATAAAAGACAGAGAGAGTAAGCACCATTAATAACAGAAGCAGCACAGTCAACATGTGGCCAAGCAGTTCCACTAACATTTGGCTGTCAGAAATTAGCACTGAAAGAGGATTAAATTGAGGATAGGAAGAGTAGTCCTCTAGTGGTAAAGTGCAAGAGTGCAAGCAATTCTAGAAGTTTTAAAACAGAAATTGAAATGTAGCATTGTTGTGTCAAGTGGAGAAGTAAATGCTAAGAACTGCTTAGAGAAATGGGCGCCTGCTTCAACGGGCTTTTTTGAAAATTTCATCTGCACCCACATGTACATTTCAAAACAAAGAACTTATTGAATAAACTCTGAAACATTGGGAAAGGTAATTTACTTTTGCCTGATTTTCTGTAGTATTCACATAAATGTACATCCAAGTCCTAAATGCAGCTTTGAAGACTCTCAAGCTAAAATTAACAACAAAAGATAAATGACTCGCCACTTACAATGACCGAACTAATAATGTGCAGGAACGACACATTTAAATGCAACCTGAAATTAGTGATTAAATAGCTGAGCTGGAAACTCTGGAGTACTGAACAATTCTGTAATGCTGAAGTATTTTTATTCCCATTGATCGCTGCTGAAGTTTGTGCCACAAATGGAAAAATACTTGAAGAATGAGAAAAGAATCACAGCACGTTTAAAGAGAAAATACATGCTTTGCAGCACAACTTGAGGTAACTCTTTTATGGAGTTTAACCTCCTTAACAGGTTACCTGAACCATATCAAATAAACTGCTACCTAACTGCAAAGTGGCAGGATTGTTTATATACTTGTTTCTTTTTCAAAAACTCTGTATGATCTTACAAATATTCTGGTTTAGAAACAGGTTAAAACACAATTTTGAGAACTTCTGATCCTGGTGTTCATGGAAAATAACTTTTTCCTGCTGTTCTAACCATGTAACTCAGGCCCTAACAGGGTGATTCAATACATGATGTTGAATGTTGCCTTTTGGGTAATTCCAGCTACCATCTTTTGACTCTTTTCTTTCCAGCTACAGCTGGTATCTTTTTCATCGCCTGAGAAGTCTACACTAGCGTTGAACCGGGATGAGTTAAAAACAGACACACACTGACTTGCTCCGTCGCTGTCACTCAAAACAGATCAGAAGCAAATCTACAACATAGCACCCTCTCCGAATTTCAGCAATCGCATGGTCTCACCTGCAGTTTTCTGGCACTCTGCTCTTGACTTAGCTGTTTTTCAATGATCTGCTGGTACAGCTTCGCCCTCAGTGTCCGCAGGGCTATGTCCTTGTTCAACTGCTGTGATCGCTCCTGCTGGCACTCAACTGTTAGTCCTTTACAGAGGGATTCAAGAGAGCTCACTCACATCAAAAGCCCATTATAACAAAGAACAAACAAGCTAAATTAATTCCAGCACATTAGGCAGATGAAACCTCCTAGAGTATTGGTTTGCAGGGCCTTTCAGCTGTAGGATAAAAAGTCATTTTAACACACTGGCCAGAACCATTAGTATGTTTTTAAACTCTTCATAGCCACACCAGAGGCTTTGTTCAGTGCTACAGAAAAGTCAGGGATATTTTAAAATTTCATGAAGCAAACAAGTTTCTGGTTGCTTCCAGAAAACAGGTTCACTCCAATTAGCTATCACATGTTAAAAATGTAATTTGCACAGTCTGCAGAAGCATGTTTAAAACAGTGTAGCACAAGTTTTTAAAGTCTTAGTCTAGATAAGCTCTTGGAGACTGGAAAATTAATTATTCTAGCAAAGAAGGGTGTCTAAACAATACTACAGCGTCTTGAACTTAATTATGAATAATGAAATAAAGCAAAATAAAGGTCTTTAAAATAAATTTAGTACTTATTTTTACTTCTCATTTTATGTCTGAAATAAAAAGACATATAGGAAACAGCTGTATTTAGGTCACTTCTGGAACTTCCTGTGCCTGAAGAGATTCTGCATTTGGACAGACAGAAACCCACTGAATTTCAATAAAAACAAATCCTGAGAAAGACATGTGGCCCAGTATATATGCTACCTTCCCATCAGTACACATTTTCCTTCCCATTCAGCATATGATAGCATTATCTAGTACTGAAAGAAAATCTTCAAGTCTCCTTTTTCCTCAGTCTTGTCACTACATAGGTTCCAGCTAGGCAAAGCACACCCTCAGTTGCCTAAGGCCAGTAGTCATGAAGGTACAGAGCACACAGCACAAATTATTTACATCTTCCATCCCATCCCTGTCAACCTCCATTTGTTCTTTCATCCTTCAAAGACAGCGTATTCATTAAACACTCTCTCTGAAGACAAAACTGGCGTAATAGCCACATCCTGACCATTGTGCCACTGGTACATGTTCCTTTTCTCACACGTTGGCTTGCTAGAAGAGGGGTAGAACAAGAAGGGATTATTTCCCTTTTTTGGTATAAGGCCCAACCCTGCAAACTCACTCTAAGAAACAACTTGCAGGATCACAAGCTTTCTCTTCAGGATACAGATTTAAGATAATTAGAAGTATGAAATACAGACAGACTCACCTGTGGGAAGGTGTACAATTCTGACAGCGCTATCAGTTTTGTTAACGTGTTGCCCTCCTGCTCCTTTGGCCCTGAATGTATCTATACGTAAATCTTTGGGATCCACTTTAACATCAACCTAGAATCAAAGAAAATTACTACTTTCTGCTCATGCTAAAAATATTTTTATGATAAAATATTTTATTGATACTCGGTGCAAAAAAAAAAAATCTTCTCAAAAAAATTGCTCCTTCACAACTGTTCCTGAGTAATCCGTTAATTATTATACTTTTTAAAAATGCAACGTCAAATATCTCTGCAAAGCAAGTGATGCTTTAAATATTTCATTTATTTTTTCAAACTCTTACTCCAGGTCCTTCATAAAACAAGGTATGTGTGTGTGTGAAACAAAACAAAATCATCAACTTTTTGTAAAATCACTAGCTTTGGCAGAGAGACTAAGAAATAAGCAAATAATAAAAAACTACTTCTAAACAGCAGTGCAAGGATCTTGCTCATGAGTCAAGACTGAATGATTCCTGCAACAGCACTTAAAAACATCTAACTGAGGAAAAACTGGGTGTATGCAGATCCAAGTAAGGATTGCAGCACTGGAAATACGAGTCCATGATGACCTGGACCATAGTATGAGCTCAGTGGATGGGAAAGGAACATTCAGATCTGATCAGTGTTGCAAGGAAAGCATTACAAGGAAGCAGGAGAACGTGCAGGGAAAGCCTACAGGATCTGGTTTTGTTTATTTTGTGTGTAAATCGCTTGTTTAAGTGAGAATTGCTGGTATCACTGAGATCTCAGAAAGACTAGCCAACACATTCATTCATTCAAATTCAAAGCAGACTGTCCTTGATTTAACAGAGGACACCAATAATTTAAATGAAACCAGAAAGAATCAAGAGGACCTGCAGAATCACATTACTATGCAACACGGAATATTTTCTTGGATATATTCCCTGTCTTAATACATGACATAATTTAAAATTGGCCTACTCATAGCATTCAGCTTCGTGAGTGCTGGGGCTGGAATACTCATTGAAACAATCACTGATTTACACACCATTTTGGGCAACAGCAAATCTCTGCAGAGTTGTTTCTGATGACCCGTTTAAACACAAACCCGTTACGGTACAGAGCCAGAGGCTGTCACCTTCCAGAGTCAGAGAACTTGTGGTTCACTTGCTGGGACTTGCACAAAGCACTTGACTATCAATAAAATCCCAAAACAGTAACGGTAATGTGGTTTTAAATAACACCTACTCCAATGTCAAAATGAGTGAGCAGGGATACACAGCTGCACCACCCTGATTAACAGTTCGTTTACCTCCTCTGGCTGAGGGAGGACAATAACTGACATTGTTCCAGTGTGAATACGCTGCATTCTTGACGACAGGCCCATCTCAGGGATTCGCTGGACTCGATGAGTCCCTCCTTCATATTTCAGATGCCTGTAGACATCGTCTCCCGAAATGTGAGCAGCAGCATGATGCAATCCACCTAGAGAGACAAATAATGTGTGACAAATATAGCACAGAAACACAGCTTTTAATTTCATTGTCTTGGTGGGATGTCTGAAGAACTACTGTACCTATTTCGGCCGGCGTATAGTTCACAATGTCAAAGGTCCAACGTTTATAGTCTGCATAGTTCTGGTACATCTCAAACATTTCTTTAGTGAACTGTTGGCAGATGTCTCCTAAAAATATAAAGGCGCTACAACATAAATAGCAGTCACAAAATGGCAGCCACCAGTTTTTAGATTTAGCTGCAACTCTAAGCAAAGTCATTAGACACAATACTCTTTAGAAAGTATTACTTTATACCATTAAAGTATAAAAAGGCATTAAGAATAACCCATAAGAGGTTTAATAAAGTTGGATGGAGGTTTGAAGTCATCTTTACTGTGGGGACTTTGCTGACCTCCAGTTGTTCTGCCAGCTGTCACTTCTAATACAACAGGACTTCTATCATATTTTTCCTTTGGCACTAGAAGCTGGAAAAGCTGAAAAGAGGAAAAAAAAAAAGTCATTATCTCCTTCGTGACTCTCTATCTCCTCTTAATCAAATTTACAGCCAGCCTTCACAATTGCCACAGCTTGAGTGCACACAATACTGATTTCTTTTGGCAAACTAGTAAGTAGGACTAAAAACTGCCCAACAGCCATTGCAACTCAGTGCAGTCCGAGTGGAAACAGGGTATGCTGGTGCATCCACAGTAAAGCTAGCTGAAAATTTGATCCCACAAAGTCAAGTGCCAGGTCACCCACTCCAGCCCCAACTACCTACGAACACAATAAAATTGTTACCTACAACCCAGCCTATCTTTACGTTATTTTTCAGAAAGTCTCATTTCATATTATCTCAATCTGAACCTAGAAATCAGCCCAAACATAGAGCTCGCCACTGAATCGTTTCAGCTTCCCTGCTGATAATTAATTTCCCCACTCACAGGGTGCTGTCAGCTGAAGGGAAAATGAAAGGCTGCAAGTTCCAATCAGAAATCTTTCAAGAATGCATGCTCCGCTGCCACAAACAGTTACTAGGATGTCATGTCAGGTCTCAACAGCATGGACCCACCATCTTTAAAATCCCCTGCAGCATGTGCAGACAGACCAAGCAAGCAAAAATGACTAAAAGCTTCTAAGACACAATTGTCAGTAAGAAGCTTACTAATAATTAATGTTGCCGCTTCTTTTCAAGAATCGAGAAGTTGGACTTCTGTTTCATTAAACGCAAGTGTCAGAATCTATTGGTGAGATCACAAAGGAACATTTTCCTGACAACTTTATTTACAAAGTAATGGAATTTTACCCCAGGCTCACCTTTCTGCACAACATGTTGATTTTTTTATCCAGGGTTTCCTTCTCTTCTAAGGCAAGCTCTAGAAGTTGTTTCTCATCTCTGCTGTCTAGCTCTGAATTCCAACAACAGGAATAGATGTTAGCCAACCTCACCTAGCTTAGAGCAAATTGTAATACAGCTGACCAAAGACAGGCACTGCAGCACGTAAAAGCCTGAAGTTGCATTTTGCCAGCATGAAATATGAAATAAGAGCAGACTATGCCAGGCTGCACGCTGCTAACTAAATGATTGTATTTTTCAGGTGTGCTGGTAGGAGTAGTGGATATTTTACCTCTGAATCTCTACCTTATGGCTCAAAGTCTGCATCAAGTAGATGCCAGTCCCTCCTGACAGTTACTTACTCTCAGTTAAACTGATGGTTATGTCACACAGATCAACAGTCCAGCGGTAAATTCACAAACAGATTGGACAAAATACGTCAAAAACATGCCTGCAGATAATAATTGCCTCAGTTTCCCTTATTACAATTTTTCATGCATCAATTTTGTTCCTAGACTTACCCAGAAACACCCATCTATTCAACAATTTGTAGGCAACTCAATAAAGTGAGCACTACAAATAATAGTACGATGATAATAACGAGGTTTCAAACCTCCTGTCTCCTGCTATTTAAGAGATCACTGAGATGGGGGAGTTACAGATGCAAATCATCAGGATGTGGGAGACCTCACTTTCACTCTTTGCTTTCCTTAAGAAGATTCCCTTCCTTTCTCTTCAGCACGTGAGACCAAAATGTGGAGTACCATGTCCAGTTTTGAGCTCCTCAGTACAAGAAAGGCATGGAACTACTGGAGTGAGTCTAGTTGAGAACCACCAAGATGGTCAAGGGCGGAGCAAAGGACATATGAGAAGAAGCTGAGAAAACTACTTTTGTTCAGCCTTAAGAAAAGAAGCAGGAGGAAAGGTTTTATTGTTGTGTACAGGTACCTAACAGAAAGACACAGAAAAAATGGAGACAGAATCTGTATATCATGATAAAAGGAGATAAAAGCTGGAATACGAGAAATTCGGATTAGGTATTAGGAAAACTATTTTCACCCTAAGGGTGGTCAGACACTGGAATGGGGCTCAAAGAGGTTGTAGGATCTCTATCCTTGGATATATTCCAAACTCAACTGGACAAGGCCCTGGGCAACCTGCTCTAAATGGTCCTGCTTTGAGTAGGACATCAGACCAAATGATCTTCGAGGTTCCCTTCAAACTAAATTATTCAATGATTCTGTGATTAGATGCCCTTTCCCACATTTTAGAGCTTACTACCAGACTAGGAAACATTCTCAGATAAAGCTAGCAAAAGCTCCAAACTTTTTCTACTATGGAAGCTCCAGTTTACAATAATTAAAAGATGGTGATCAGTTAGCATTAGATTATACGCTAAGTAGAAATTTGGAAGACAGCTGGAGTCAAGTGGAAAACCTGCCACTGTCAAAACACGGAGCACCCTCTCCTTTTCATCTTTCTTCTCACTGTTCTACCAGCTGTGGAGTGGCTCTGTCACTCATCTGATCAGAAAGTAATTCAACTCACTGAAAGAAAAAAAACAGGTCTGGTTAAATAAATGCATGTATTTTATGATGCCAAGTTGAACTAGATTTAATTTACAACTGGACACTTACCAGCACAAATGGGGGAATGGGGGAAGACAGCTTTGAACAGCTGGACATGAGAGCGAGAGAAGAGGCAACAAAGAGGAGGAGTAAGTCTTATGCCTTCTGGCCAGCATGGAAACCATAGGTTTGCCTCAAATGCAGCATAAAACTGGACACTCAATAGCTGAACGCATCTCCTTGCCTTGCATGACTTGCCCGAGCTCTGCATTTATCGAGTATCTCAAAAATAGGCACAAAGACGGTGGGATCCACATCTCTGGGCATCTGGAGCCTGGCTGCCCTTCACAGCAGCTAACACACACACACATACACACCCATGGTTACTGGTGGCCTCAGCAGCGACTCTTAAGAACTAAATGGGATGGGATGTTGAACCAGCTTTGTGTACTGAGCAAGGACAGCAGCAGCTCCTCTGTATCCCAGTTTTTAATTTATGCTCTGGGTCCTTTTCCCCTTGAATAAAAGATGTCAGATCAACACTTGAACCTGGCATCCTCTATACATAAGGCAAGAACTGGATAAATTTCCCTGCTGGTACGTCACAACTCCAACCCAAAGCTCGTACTGAATCAAAGGCTTCTTTCTAGCTGGCCCAAAAAGCATCATTATTGACTAGTTAGATAAACGGTATCAAATTAACTACTGTCAGCAGAGATGAAAGAATAGCCTGGTGGTGACCAACGAGCTTGAGGTTCAAAGGATTCGTATTCCATCCCTACCTCTCTGCAAACCTGACCTTTAAGAATTCACTTAATCTACCCATGATTCACATCACCAGTGGCAAATCAGGAAATAATATTTTTCTGCTTCACGGAGTGTTGCAAATACAAAATCCTACAGCGAGTATGAGGAATTTGGGTACTACAGAGAAGAGGGTCAGTTAGGGAGCTAAACAGAGAACACAGGGCAGTCAAACGAAGGGAACAACTGTGTTTTAACGTGGCCACATGATAAACAGTACAGATAGAATAAACCAGCCCCATTTAATTAACTTCTCAGCTTTAATTTTCTTTCACTCTTTTATTTCCTCTTCTTTCAACTAGAACTCGCTCTATTCATTCACTTCATAATTTACAGTATTAGAAAAATTCCTCATTATATTTACTTGATCCAAAAATAGCCTTTTTAAGTTCAAATCTGAATTTTCCAGTATTTTCTTAACACTTTCTAATTCTTCCAAGAGCACTTCTTTTTCAGTGTTAAATTTTTATCCCTCCTCACCGTGATTCCTTTTCCTCTTTCTCCAATGAAGGGAACTTGAGAGGGTTGACGATTAAAACATTTTCAATAAACACCATTTTTTTCCAAAAGCACAAACATCTATTTATTTCTAAAACTGAAGAATACCAATGTTTTCTATCTTTCTAAACAACTTACATTTTTACCAGCTTTATTTCAATATGGCTTTTACTGTTTTGTCAACACCTCTTGGTTCTCCCTCTGAAAAGCGCCATGAACTTTCATCCTCCTCCATTTACACTGCTGGCTACCCATTTTTCCTGTCCTTTGCTTTCCCCTTGCTTCACTTCTTTAATGTAAGCCTCATTCTCTCCAGGCCAATGTTTCCCTCTCTTGGCTTAACATCTACCTGTGTAGCAGAATAGATAACATTTTTTCTTTCTTTCTGTGTGCACCTCCTTACGCTTCTAACAATGTTTTTTTTTTTCTTTTCCTTGAAATGTTGCACTATTACTTATTTTAGAAATTCTTTTACTCTCTGTGTACTTTCTTATTCCTGAATGGTATCAAAAACAATGATAATTTTTAACTCTTTTTTACCCAAACTTCTGCTGTAGCAGAGTACTGAAAAGCAGCAGCTTCTTAGACAACGATCAATTTTTATTCCTTGAAGGACTCCTCAAATATTTTCAAAGAAATAATTAGCTTTTGACATTTAAATTGGAAGCTGACAATTCAGGACCTAATGAAAGTTCATGTAATTTGCTCAGTAAGTATCAATGACCTGGCTAGACAGAATCCCATTTTAAGTAACATGGGTGAAGTCGGCACCTATCAAATGTATTAGGCTCGCTAAACTTTTTCCCTTCAGTTCACACTGCTCTCGGTTCTATCAAAAAACAACCTTAAAACAAACATTTCCACCTAGAATACTGCATTCAGCTCTGGAGTCCCCAACACAAGAGGGACATGGAGCTGCTGCAGTGAGTCCAGAGGAGAGCCACAAAGATGATCCAAGGGCTGGAACACCTCTCCCATGAAGACAGGTTGAGAGAGTTGAGGCTGTTCAGCCTGGAGAAGAGAAGGCTCCGGGGTGATCTTATTGCAGCCTTCCAGTACTTAAAGGGGGCCTACAGGAAAGCTGGAGAGGGACTTTTTACAAAGGCATGTAGTGATAAGACAAGGGGTAATGGCTTTAAACTGAAAGAGGGCAGATTTAGATCAGATATAAGGAAGAAATTCTTCACTCAGAGGGTGGTGAGGCACTGGAACAGGTTGCCCAGAGAAGCTGTAGATGCCCCATCCCTGGAAGTGTTCAAGGCCAGGCTGGATGAGGCTTTGAGCAACCTGGTGTAGTGGAGGGTGCCCCAGCCCATGTCAGGGTGGTTAGAACTAGATGATCTTTGAGGTCCCTTCCAACCCTGACCATTCTATGATTCTACGATTCTATAAACTATTTCTGCTGGACAGATGAAAAACAGAAGGATGTGGCTGGACGCAGAAAGCCCTAGCAGCACTCAAGCTCCCAGGGGCAGGCAGGACCAGAGAGTGTTCCAGGGCTGGCTTAACTCATTAAAAGCTCTCCTCAAAGGCTGGGCAATGAAGTTTACTGCAGGCAAAGCTACTGGTTTAAAACAAGTAAGTAAATGAGTTTCCTTACCTCTGCACATAGCTTCTAACTCCTGAACTTCCTTTTCAGCCTCTTTGATTTCTTGAAATGCAGCTGCAATGGGGGACAGATCGGCATATCTTCTTCTCAGGGTTCTTTGCTCTAACTCATTTATTGAGTCAGTATTTAAGAGATGACTAACCTGTTGGTATTCCTTGTTTAGAGTCTCCAGATACTTCTGCACAGCCTCATGCTTCCACAACATTTGAGAATCCTGATGTTTTTTCCTATGCCGACTGTTAAAAGACAGCATGAACTTAGCTGTGTCCAATAAAGATTTTGGCCTCCAAAATGCACAGTTGTGCAGTCCCACCACGTAACCTATCTTCTTCACAACAGGAGGGAGAAGACAGCTGTGAAGTTGACCGTGACAGTAGCAACTGGCAAGCAGGCTCTTAAAAAGACAGACACTTTGGAAAGGTTTCATTTTGTTTCTTATTTTTCCACCACCTGAAATTAAAAGTAGACAGTACACAGACCACTGTTATTATCTTGAAAATGAGACCATTCTATTAAAAAAACCCAAACCAACAAAGAACTGTATCAGGCTCAAATCCTATTCTTGATTACATGCAACACAAATGCAACTGTCATGGACACAACTATTTCTGTTTTAGTCCTGGATTAAACCAGAAACTCTTTATCAGCACCATTATAGTGACTGAGGGTTGGAAAAGGTCTCTCCCCTCACCTCTTAAAACAGTTTATTTATGCTGTGGAAAAGCTACTGTAGATGCGGCTCTACAGACAACAGTTTCATTTTGCCATACGTTTCATTGGAAAAATCCAACCATTCAGGCCCCACCGGCGAAAGAAAAATGTTGCTCAGAAAAGACAAATCTACACTAAAGGAGCAGAATTATATATAGTATACAGAATGTATGAAATATGCAGAATTAATGTGCAAAATTATACCCATTACCATAACACGATAGAACTGGGGCAGGAGGACATTAGTAACATCGAGCTGACCGTGCAACAGATTAGTCAGTAGGACTACAATACACTTTCAAGAAATTACTCACCCATATATGTACTATGTTATGACACTGGCGCAGTGCTTTATGTCCCCTGTGTACTCCTTCCTATAATATATTTACATATAAGTGTTATATTATGTCCAAAAAGTGAGTAAGAAGCTGGTACTCTGAAATACACCACCTGCATTTTTCCAAGACACTTGGCCTACAGTTTTGCAGGACACAGGCTCCCCTTAGCATCACTGTTGCTCTAGGAAAGATCTTTCTCTCTTCATTTTATACCATCAACTTTGCAAATTATGCTATGAATTCTTACTGTGCTCAAAAAATTTATACGGGAGTGCAAGGGTCTACCAAGAGGACTAAATTGAAATCATTCATATTTACTCACACTCTCTACCAAGAGGACTAAATTGAAATCATTCATATACTGCTCACACAGAAAAGGTTTAACAAATAAAGAGGCACTCCTTAATATGTCTGCCAGTGCCACAATCCCATCTGTCTACAGATTCTTACAAAAAAGTGGATTCAGAGAAAATGAGAGCATTAAACCCTTGCAACAGGATCTCCTTAAAACATACATTTCAATTTTCTGACACAACTATTTTTTACGCATTAGTGACAAGACCCGTGCACCTTCAGGCACTTTATTAACAAATTACTATGACATTCTAACTATTCCACTCACCCATTATCCTCACCTATTTATTTTCATCCACTTGTCCACAACAAAGAAACAGCAAAATGCCGTAAAACAGAAGTGCTGCATCTTGCTTGCCTGGATGTTTGCTTTACTACCTACAGAAGGAGGGAACGACCTTAATTCTGCCTCTGCATCTCCCCCAGATTCCCTGGCTGGCAGTGGCTATCAAATCCACAGCAGCAACTTCAGGAGCGCTTCAATTTACAGAAAGCCAACGATACCCTTCCTGGATTGTTCTAGTGACTAAAACCAGCTGTAGCAGAGGGATCATGTTCCCTTCACCAGGAACACAGCAAAATGCACAAATCAGGCTCATCATCTACAATTCTGAACTTAGTTGCTCAGGTGTACGCGCAGACTCAATTCCAAAAGACCTAATTCTGCTGATGGTAGTGGATTTGCTTCAGACTCACATGGCCCACTATCGTTTGGTCAAGTGCTCACCATCATTAACTCATTTTAAAAATATTAACGTTATATTCTATTTTAACTAATTAAATATATTAATTGTAACCATCTAACACATTTTTTACTAGTGTAGTTAAGAAGTGATGTACCCAAATAATAACAATTTGTACTATAGTTCTGCCCGAGCTCTCAAAAATAAAATTCTTGGGTTTAAATGCCTAAAAAACTAAGTACTGGCATGACACAGTCCTTCAAGGAAGTCAGAAATTTCAAAATAACTAACTCTGCTACGCTAAATAAAAAAGGTATCTCCTTTTCAGAGAGATGTCACATATAACATATGTGTTACATCCACATCTCTAAACTGGAAAGATGTGGTTTCGATGGATGGACCACTCACTGGATAAGGAATTGGCTGGATGGTCGCACTCAAAGAGTTGTGGTCAGCAGTTCAATGTCCACGTGGAGGCCAGTGACGAGTGGTGTTCCGCAGGGGTCGGTACTGGGACCAGTGCTATTTAACATCTTTGTTGGAGACATGGACAGTGGGATTGAGTGCACCCTCAGCAAGTTTGCAGATGACACCAAGTTGTGTGGTGTTGTGGACACGCTGGAGGGAAGGGATGCCATCCAGAGGGACTTTGACAGGCTGGAGAGGTGGGCCTGTGAGAACCTCATGAAGTTCCACAAGGCCAAGTGCAAGGTCCTGCACGTGGGTCAGGGCAATCCCATGCACAAGTACAGGCTGGGCAGAGAATGAATTGAGAGCAGCCCTGAGGAAAAGGACTTGGGAGTGCTGGTGGATGAGAAGCTCAACATGAGCCGGCAATGTGCGCTGGCAGCCCAGAAAGCCAACCGCATCCTTGGCTGTATCAAAAGGAGTGTGGCCAGCAGGTCGAGGGAAGTGATTCTGCCCCTCTACTCAGCTCTCGTGAGACCCCATCTGGAATACTGTGTTCAGCTCTGGAGTCCCCAACACAAGAAGGACATGGAGCTACTGGAACGAGACCAGAGGAGGGCCACGAAGATGATCAGAGGGCTGGTGCACCTCTGCTATGAAGACAGGCTGAGAGAGTTGGGGCTGTTCAGCTTGGAGAAGAGAAGGCTCCGGGGTGATCTTATAGCAGCTTTCCAGTACTTAAAGGGGGCCTACAGGAAAGCTGGAGAGGGACTTTTTACAAGGGTGTGTAGTGATAGGACAAGGGGCAATGGATTTAAACTGAAAGAGAGCAGATTTAG